CAGACATGTCAGATTATTCTCTCTAATGCCAGTGTGGAACACACACACACACACACACACACACACACACATCTCATTCTAGAAAGACGATAGTCAAATCTCATGGGGCAACAGAGAAGAATTTCCAAACACCATCGAAGCTTGCAGGGCACCATTCTGGTGATGCTGTGTCAAGTGATGTTACTTCCTGTTATTCATCTCCTTCCTGACAAGTCCCTTAGGCCCTTCAGTCTTGCTTGGAGTTAGAACATAAGCCACTTGGTTTCCAGAGCAAAACTCTGCTTGGAAGGGTTCAGACCATGAATCTCAGCAGAGTGGGAGGCTCCATGCAGTGCACCTGGGACTGGAGCCCTCCTGCTCTTCCTTCCTTAGCCGGGAGCCATTCTCTCTACAGAGGTACTTGTTCTGATGGCAAGGGACCCTGCCTAGCTCCTGTGTGCCCCAGAAGGTGAACCTGCACTGTGCTTCCTTTGCAGTCCTCACTGGGGTTTCACTGCTGTGTAGGTGGAGCCAAATCAGGATGCTGGCACCCTGATGCCACTGTTCACTCTAAATAGGCACCCTGCTGGCACCTCTCTCCTAGGAGAGGCCCTAGGGGCTGCCCCTGCCCAGACAGAGCTGTCTCTGCATGCTTGAACATGAATATGCTTCTTGGCTGGATGTGTGGGGCCAGCCCTGCCCATGGGATGGCCCTTCAATCTGTTCCTCAGGTTTCTTCTCCTCCACAGGGCCCCAGCTTGCATCTAGTGCCAAAGTCACAGGTTAGGACAGGCCTTGGTGTGCCAGTTCGAATGTGCGTGACTAGCTCTGGGTGAGTCTGTTCCAGTAATTTCAGGAACAACCTCTCACTGGGATAGCCTCCTTTCCACACCTATTGTTCTGTGGGTATCCTCTCAGCAGCGCCATAAACAGGCAGAACAAATGTGAACTCCTGACCCTTGGTCGGCATTGAGAAATTGCAAGTCATATGAATTGTCCACTGGTTGATGGGTGGCCAGAGCAGAAGCAGACACCAGGCTTTTTGACTCTTACTCCAGGGCTGCCACCACGTGCTGAGTAGACTCAGACTTCTCCAGTCTTAATTTCCTGAAGGCAAGCCACAGATTACCTGTTGTGACACTGTGGTATATAATGGGAAATGAATCTTTGGTATTTCTTCCATTTTCCTACACAGAGCACTGAAAACCCTTATAATTTCCTAAGTGGTGGGAGGATAAAGGTAGATGGAGTTGTTGTCCATAATAAGCCCCTTTAACCACAGCTGGGTCTAGCTGATGTGGGAATTTGGAAAGCCTACAAGGGGGGTCAGTTTCCAGGGGAACCAAGCAGGTGATTAGAGGGAAGAGAGGAGAAAGGGGCTGAAGGGTGAGCTGGTCACCAATGGCCAGAGATTCAATCACTCATGCCTATTGCGAAGGAAGCCTGCAGGAAACACAACAAGGTCGGATGCAGAGAGATTCAGGTGGCCAAAGGCAGGGAGGCTGCGGTGCTGCGGGAGGAGCATGGGAATCCTGTCCCCCTTCACCCACCCCAGAAGCTGCTGCTGCTTCATCTGGCTGTTCATCTGCATCCTGTGGAATACCCTTGCTGATAATCCAGTCCCCGGCATTTCCTTGGTCTGTGTGACTTTCTAGTAAAGGACTGAGGACAGGAAGTGAGTATGGGTACCTCTGGTGTGTAGGCAGGTCATTAGAGTTGTGGATATGTGAAGTGGGGACAGTCTCATGGGATGCAGCCCTGGAGTCCTGAGCTCAGCATGACTCTGATTGGTGTCAGAATGACCTGACCTGTGGACGTCCTGCTGGTGTAGCAGGATTGGTTCCAGTGAGGGTAGGTCGCTGCGCCTCTCGCCCCAGGAGTGCTCTGTGCTGACCTAGAGCGTGTAAGGAGGTTGGCTTTTCCTTGGGCATGTGCTCCAGAGGAGGGACCGACTCCTTGGAAAGGAGCATGTGGTCTTGGCCCATTCCTGGTTCACAAGGGAATCCTCTTGACTTCAATGAAGAATGAACACGGGGTGTGAGATTGAGACAGACAGGCCAACCCAATGCTCATTTATTCATTCAGCAAAGATTTATGGAGAGCCTACTGTATGCCAGACATTGCTGTGGATGCTGGGGATGAGCAGAGAACAAAGCAAACATTGTCCCTGCCCTTAAGGCGCTCCCACGAAGGGAGAAATGAGCAGTAAATAAGCAATAGGGCAGTGGGTGAAGGAGGAGAAGGGGCTTGGGAGTGTCGCTGGCTGTTTCATAATGAGGGAAGGTGAGGTTAAAGGCCCCGAGCAGCCCTGAAAAGAAGGGAGTGATCATGCTGTGTGGACGTGGAGTTGCCATCTTGGTCATCTTCATCATCTCGAGCAGGGATTGGCAAACGATAGCCACAGGCCGACTCTAGCCCATGGCTTGATGTTACTGGAACAAGTCCAGCCCATCTGTTGCTATCATCTGCGGTGGCACTCCTGCCACAATGGCAGGGCTGAGTCATTACCAAAGAGACAGGATGGCCTAGAAACCTAATGGTGTTCTATTCGAGCCTTTATAGTAGACGTCTTCCAACCCTAATCTACACCAGAGGTTCTCAAAGTGTAGGAACCCCGTCAATCTCTGCGTCCCGGGTAGTGGGAGTGTAGAGCGGAATGCTAGTCAGAATAGCACTGAGACATTGCTGCTTCTGTGCTCACCTTCTCCTGAGGGTGCCATAGAGCCTGTGTGTGACACTGCAGCAGAGTGACTGAAGGGGGAGACAGGGCAGTACAGCTGGCATTCTGAGGCTGGGCTTTAAAGGGCCTGTGAGGACGTAACCGAATGTCCCCCTCTTCTACTTCTGTATGTTAGGGGAGATGTAGTTATTTTTCAAAAAAGTAATTATGTTAACATATAATGGGCTTATCCTGTTAAATACGCTGAGGGAGTATTTAAAACTGGGTCAGTTTAATCTCTGCCGTCGTTCCCATGCACAGACATGACCCACATGCACCAAGGCTTTGGGGACCCTCAGTTATTGTGGAGGGTGCATTAAGTGAAAGGCACAGAAGGCCATTCATTTGGCAAGCTCTAAGTTGCCCACGTACGGTGGTGAGGCTTGTGCTGGAGTTCCACATCTCCTCCCCAGAAATCGGGAGGGCAAGGGAGAGCAGAGGAAGGAGCCTGTGTTCGAGTGTGAGAAGGGAGTTTCTTCACGCTGAGCCTTTTTGAGGAGGCCAGACTGAGAACACCACTCTGGCTCTGTTCTGTTTGTGTTCTCCTTGTTTTTTTATTCTGTCTATAAAACCTCCTGGGCTCAGCTTGTCAGGACATTCCTCTTTTATAAAGTGAGGTACTGCCCAGTTCTAGAATTGTAAATAAAAAGCAAATTAAGTTCCTTACACAGGTTGGTTTTAATTGGCATTGTCATTTATCAAGAGTAAAGAAGTCCGGGAGCAAAAAGCAGATCTAGAAGTAGCCAATTTTGTGTCTTCTTGGGAAGTTCAGGAGTAAGAGGTGCCCTTTGCATGGGTAGCAAGCTGCAGGTTCTCACCTGTAGAAGGATGGCACACCTGCCTTCTGTGTTTGGACTGCAGGAGATGGCGGGTGGGTGTTGTGGGTTGAATTGCCTCTCCCTACAGGATATGTTGAAGTCCTGACACACGGCCCCTCAGAATGTGACCTTATTTGGATATAGAGTCATTGCAGATGGAATTAGTCAAAATTAGGCTATTGCTGTGGTTCCTGACCCGATAGACCGGTGTCCTTATAAAAATAGGAAAATTTGGGCACAGACACACACACATGGAAGAGCAGGTGAAGATTTAGGCAGAGGTCAGGTGATGCTTCCAGAAAGCCAAGGACACCAAAGACTGCTAGTAGTCCCCATAGGCTCAAGGAGATGTCCACATAGATTCTCCATTCCAGACTGAGAAGGGGCAAACCCTGTTGTAATGTTGGTCTCAGATGTCCAGCCTCCAGAGCTGGGTGACAATACGTTTCTATTGTGCAGGCCACCCTATCTCTGGTATGCTGTAAGCCACCAGTTTTTGGTTTCTTTGTTTCAACTTGTTGGTTGACAAACCTCCATGTGGTATCCTGCCACCATTTATATTTCCACATTTTGTCCCTTGTCTATTTTTCTACCTGCTCTTCTGTCTCTTCTCCTCTTCCTGTACTTCCTCCTCTTCCCTAAGGCAAGCCAAGATCTTCTATTGATTGAGAATTTTGCAGAGCTACTTGGGCCACCGGAATGGCCCTCAGTTCATGTCTTATTGAGACCAGATGCCTGATCACAGTCCTAGAGAGGGCCTCTGTGGGACCTGTTCTCTGGCACACAGAAGAATTACCTCAGATAACTCTTGCATCAGGCCTGGGAGAGATCCTGATGCAATCTCCCCTAAGTAGATGTGGCAGCTGAGAGGGGAAGCACCCAGGCCAGCTGGCCTGGGCGGGCTGCCCCTGGACCTGTGCTCAGCTGCACTTCAGTGGAGATGTTCTTAGAGCATCCATCCCTCGGGGCTATTTTGGGCTGCATATAAAAGAAAACCCCCAGCAGTACAGACTCACCTGGGGCACGTGGGGAGGGTGGCCTCAGGTTCTTGTAGTGCAGCTTGGCTTCCTGCAATGCACTTTTTCTCCAGCAATCCTTCTGAGGAGCTGAATGTCGAGGGGAGGGGACGGTGCTACTGTGTTGTTTGCAACCTTGAATTTGTCATCTGTTCAACTAATGTTTCCTTTCTGATCTGAGAAAAGTTGTCAAGAGAGGGGGAGAGCATGGACAGGTCTTCCTCCCTGGGGACAACTGGGGATGCAGCTGAGGTCAGAGGCCCACAGGCCCACAGAGCTCTCCCCAGGTGGCCCTCTTAGAGAGGGAAAGGCATTTTAGCAGAAACAAAGATTCAAGGAAGGCTAGACTCTCAGGTGATGGCTGGCAGGCTTGTGAGTGGTGTGAGTTAGCTGTTTGATTAAGTATGGTTAAATATTAATTTGACTGCTTTTGTTTCAAAGGCAGGATTCAGAGCAAGGGAGAAGCAGGCAGTCTGTGAAAGCCACCGGTTGGCTGAGGGAGAATGGCTGGGAGCCCCGGGGGTCCCTTTGCTTCTCCTGGGAGTTCTGTCCTCCTTCCCGCTGTTCAGAGAGTTTCTGCAGGGCTTTTCTTCATAGCACTTTGGGGCACAGTTGTAGGTGACAGGCTGCTGGTGGTCCCTCAGGATGGAAGCCACTGGCTTAGTATGAAGGACATAGTTGAGCGTCTCAGTGACCGGGGCCATGACATCGTGGTGGTGGTGCCAGAGACCAATTTGCTTCTGAAGGAATCGACACACTACAGAAGGAGAGTGTACCCGGTGCCCTATGGCCAGGAGGAGATGGAGGGCCGCTACCGCTCTTTTGGGAATCAGCACTTTGCTGAGAGATCCTTCCTGACGGCCGCGCAGACAGAGTACAGGAATAACATGGTTGTCATCGACATGTACTTCCTCAACTGCCAGAGCCTCCTGCAGGACTCGGGCACCCTGAGTTTCCTCAAGGGGAGCAGGTTCGATGCTCTTTTCACAGACCCGGCCTTGCCCTGTGGTGTGATCCTGGCCGAGTACCTGGGTCTGCCCTCTGTGTACCTCTTCAGGGGCTTCCCGTGTTCCTTGGAGCATGCTTTGGGTGGAAGCCCGAACCCCGTGTCTTACATCCCCAGGTGCTACACTCAGTTCTCAGCCCACATGACGTTTCCCCAACGCGTGGCCAACTTCCTGGTTAACTTCTTGGAGAGCTATCTGTTTCACTGTCTGTATTCAAAGTACGAGGAGCTGGCCTCAGGCCTGCTCGGGAGAGAAGTGCGCCTGTCTGCCTTGTATCAAAAGGACCCCGTGTGGCTGCTGAGGTACGACTTTGTGCTGGAGTTCCCCAGGCCAGCCATGCCCAACATGGTCTTCATTGGAGGGACCAACTGCAAGAAGTGCCGTGTCCTGTCCCAGGTTGGTGGTTTGGCTCCTCGTGGATTGCCCTGTGTCTTGTGGGCAGGTTCTGTCCTTGTCCCTCAGTCTCGTTGGGCAGGGTTGTCAGAGGAATGGTGGTGGGAAGGGGAAGCCAGGTGTAGAGTAGCAGGACAGGAAGGCCTGGGGCCCCGGGGAGGGGAGGCAATTGAGTGAAGCCTTGCCTGGCCACAGGAAGAGGCACGCTCAGTTAGGTTATCTGGGGACAGTCTCACAACCATTGCAGGAGGCTTAGGAATGTTCCCATCCAGACAGAGGGGAAGGCTCGACCCAGGGGCAGGTCAAAACCATTCTCCCAATTCTGTCCTCTGGTTTGCCCCTGGGCATGAGCTAGAGGTGACCTGTGGGCCACATCTGCCCCGAGGCCTCTTTACAATGGCCCACAGCTAAGCAGGGTTTTGTAGTGTTAAAGGAATATTCATAACCATGGAGGATGCGTGGCAGAGCTGTGTGGCCCTGCATCCTTACTGGCCTTTGTGGGAGAGGGGTCATGGTCTAAGGCCAGTGTTTGTAGATGCCCTCCTGAGGTAGGGCCCAGAGTAACCTGGGAAAATAATCATCTGGGAGACTTTCTCACAAATGTAATCAATCCTGGCTGTGATGGCACACACCTGTAATCACAGTAACTTGGAGTTTGAGGCAGGAGGATGGCAAGTTCAAAGCCAGCCTTAGCAACTTTGTGAGGCCGTCAGCAAAGTAGGGAGTCCCTGTCTCAAAATGAAAACACAAAAATGGGTGGGGATGTAGCTCAGTGCTTGAGAGCCCCAGGTTCGAACCAAGTACAGAAATAAAAATTTAAAAAATACACATAGTGACCCTCTGTAAGGAATCAGCCCCCCTCTGTCTTTCACCCCAAAATGTTCCTTTCAATGCATTGTTCATCCAAGAGCAAGTCTCCAAGAGGTCTCAAGGGCCCCTCCACACTTTTATAACACCTGCTGTGTTGTGTGTTAACAGCAAGAGGCACGCTCAGTTAGGTTATCTGGGGACAGTCACACAACCATTGCAGGAGGCTTAGGAATGTTCCCATCCAGACAGAGGGACAGGTGCAGGTCAAAACCATTCTCCCAGTTCTGTCCTCTGGTTTGCCCCTGGGCCCTGAGCTAGAGGTGACCTGTGGCCATGCTACTAGGAAGCCCTCTGAAAATGGCGCTGTGTGAGCCTCAGCCCTTCACAGATCCTCATGCTGAGGATCCATGTGCCCCACACAGCATGTGACCGTGCTTTGCAGAGGGACAGGGGTCTGGTGGCTCTGGCCCTCTCTTCCTTGGAGCCTGGTTCCATACCAACAGGAAGTTCGTCCTCTTGTGTTCCACAGTCTTGTCAATTGTGGTTCTCCATTAGGGTCTCTTTCGACACCCAGGGGGAAATGGCAGAGAAAAATGTCAATCTTTGGGAATGTCCACTATAAATAAATGCCAAGTGTGTTTCACTGACTCTCTGCATCAAGGCGAATGTGAGGACCAGACTTTACAGGAGACACTTTTGCAGGCTGACATCTCAGCATGTCCTGATTGAGCCCAAGGTGGATTCCTGGCAAGCCAGGGGCACAGAATCCCAAAGTGCAAGTCATCGTTAACAGGCACTTTCTAAGGTCCATGATTTAGGCCAGTGTCTGTAAAGTCTGGCTTTTCTTTCAACATCCCCAGTTTATCTTTATGACTATTTCTTTTGGAGGTTATCAGACGTGGAGGGTTTTGGCAGCAGTGTTTCTGTTAATAAGTTATCATGTAAGAGTGACTAAGAGCTGGAACACATTCGGGTTTTTACAAAGTGCTGGACATGAACATGCAAAACCCAGAAAGTTGGCCAACAATTTACACAATGCCACAAAGAGCTGGCTTTAAAAGCTATATTCCTTTTGCCTGGTGTGTTGTCTCAGCACATTTTATTTTAAATGGTTTTCAGAAAGAACTTTTGAGAGTGATTCACGGGCCCTGCAATTCACTCATTTAATGTTTATAGTTTGTTGGTTTTACATTCTCAGATTAGGGCACTCTGTCAACCTTAGCACCTTCAGGCATGTCCCCAAGATGCACCTTGACTGTCACCAGTCACTCCTTCTTGGCTCCCGACCCCTGTGACCCGTGGATTTGCTTCTTCTGCTCTTCACAGGAATGGAAACGCAACTTGTGTTTGGCTTCCCCCAGCGTAAGGTGTCAGGGCTCGGCTGTGGGGAGCACAGGTTTTTATTGCCCATAATCTTCAGGGCCATGGGTGTGCCACCCTTCTAAATTTGCTTGTGTGCTGAAGGAGTTTGGGTTACTTCTACGTTCTGGCTACTAGGAGCCAACTGCCGTGAACACTTGTGTGCAGGTTTTGTGTGGACATGTGTTTTCCATTCTGTTGGGTGTGTGGTAAGTGTGGAATTTCTGGGTTGTGCGGTCACTGCATGTTTCTACTTTTGGGGTGTGACCAGATTGTTCTTCCGGGTGTTGGTGCCATTTTTTTTATTGTGATAAAATACACATAACTAAGATTTACCATTCTCAAGTGTAGAGTTTGGTGGCCTCAGTACACACACCGTTGTGTGCCACCATCTGGTACAGAACTTTCATGGGCCCCTGAGAGGAAGTCCACACCCTTAAAGTTCTCTAGCTTTGTAGTAAGGTTGTAATTGGGAAGTGTGAATCTCCCACACTTGCCATTCATGTTCAAGATTGTTTGGGCTATGCTGGGTCCTTTAAAGTTTGGGACTCTTAGAATTTGTTTGCCAATTAAAAAGAAACTCATGAATTTTGATAAGAATCATGTTAAATTTGTAGGTCTCCTTGAGAAATATGGCCATCTTAACACAACAAGATAAGTAAATATCCTGATTCATGTACTGGGGTGTCTTTCTGTGTAATTAGGTCTTCTTTAATATCTCTTAACACTATTCTGTCCTTTTTAGTATAAATATAAATCATTCCTAGGCAATTTATTCCTTCCGATGGTGCTTTACATCAACTTGTGTTCTTTCTTTTAATTTTGGATTGCTCATTGCTGGCGTAGGGAGAAGTAGTCGACTTTTGTATATTGCTCTGGACTCTTGCTGAATGTGTTCATTTGTTCAAAGGTTTTAGCTGAATTCTCAGCAAGATTGAGGGTGTAAATGGAAGGTCAAGCTGTGTCCCTACTGAAGGGGCTCTGCTAGTGCCTTTGAAGTCTGGAGGTTTTTTCTCTTTTGTTGCCTAATTGCTTGGTGGAGTCTCCAGTGCAACCCTGAAAGGAGCCTGCAGTCCTCCTGTTCTTGTTCCTGATCTGATGAGGACAGCGTGCAGTCTGCTCTGGCAGTGGGCCTGGAGGTCTGCTGAGACTCCAGCTAGGTTGGTGACATGGCCATGTACTCCTAGTTTGTCGAGTATTGCTGTCAGACCTGTGATGTTGCATTTTGTCAAATGTGTTTTCTGTGTCTACTGAGATGAACATGTGGCATGTTCTTTCCTTTCTTCTGTGATGTGATAAGTGACAGGAAGTGAATTGATTTCAAGGTGTCAAGGCCAGGGCTGGGGATGTGGCTCAAGCGGTAGCGCGCTCGCCTGGCATGCGTGCGGCCCAGGTTCGATCCTTAGCACCACATACAAACAAAGATGTTGTGTCTGTCAAAAACTGAAAAATAAATATTGAAATTCTCTCTCTCTCTCTCTCTCTCTCTCTCTCAAAAAAAAAAAAAAAGATGTCAAGGCCACCTTGTATTCCTGGGTCAATCCCACTTACCACACTTTTTACATGTTACTGGATTTAGTCCAATAGTATTTCTTTCAGGACTTCTGCATCTGCATGCAGAAAAGCTACTGCAAGTTTTATCTTGTTGTGAAGGTTTTGTCTGGTTGGTGTCAGTGTTTCCCTGGACTTGGGGGACGAGCTGGAGGTGCTCCCCACTTTCCCATCATGCAGAACAGGCTGTGAAGAACTGGGGTTCGTTCTTTGCGTAGATGATAGAATTTCCTTATGAACGTGTCAGGTCCTGGGCTTTTCTTGGTGGGAAGTTCTAGAATTATGTATTCAATCATTACAGTGGCTGTAGACCTATTCAGATTTGTCTTTTTTTCTTGGAGCAGTCTCAGTAGTTTGATTCTTCTCAGAACTTTCCCATAGAATCTGCTGTCTAATTTATGGGCAATGACGGGTCAGATTGAGCACTTGTAGAATGTTTTTATTTTGGTATGCTTGGTGTAACATTCCCTCTTTCAGGCCTGATTTGAGTTATTGAAGGCTTCTGTCTTCTCTTTCCTGCCCTAGCAGAAGGTTTGGTTAAGTTTGTACTTTTTCCACTAGCTTTGGTTTTGTGGATGTTCTCAATTGTGCTGTGGAACAATTCCTCTGTGCTCTGTTATCCTTCTGCTTGCTTTGTGCTTAGATTATTGTGCTTGGATGGAGACTTTTATTATTACCCAGTGGCCCTCTTACATGTAGTAGTGCTTTTGTTTAGAAGTCTATTTTAAAAAAAATATTAGCCACTCCACTATTTTATGGTTGATTTTTCATGATCTGTTTCCCTACTACTTTACCATGCATATAGTATTTTTTTTTAAATCTATGTTTTCTTGGTTTTGAATCTCAAACATGTCTTGTCAAGACAGAATATCTTTGGATCTCATTTTCTACCAAATGGCCAGCTTTGTCTTTTGGTTGTGTTGTTTAACACATTTATGTTTAATGCTGTTATTCATATAAGTGGTTTATGTCTGCCAGTTTCCTTTTCTTCATGTATACCCACACGCACTCTTTTACTCGCTGTTCTGTTTCTCCCTACTGCTTTCTTTGCACTAAGTGAATATTGTTCTAGTATAGCTTTTTAATACCATTAATGACATATTTCTGAGTGGTTCTTGCACTTATCTGTACATTTTAACACCAGTACCCATTTCTGACTTAAGATGACCTATCTTGCATTGTCTTACTATATACATTAATGTGCATGTTGTAAAGAATATGGAGAAGTAGAACAAGAACATGTTGACAGAGTTTGTTACATCAGCTGTCTTATCTATCATTCC